AGTCTTCGAACATCCCAAAAACAGCAAGTAGAGAGTCACCTGGTGTAACCAGGCCAAACAGTGAATCCAGTTTTGTGTGTGACCAGGCCAAACAGCAAGCCCAGTTATTTGACCAGACTAAACGGCATGTCTAGGTCATCTGACCAGGCTAAACAGCAAGCCCAGTTATCTGACCAGGTTAAACAGCATGTCTAGTTTATCTGACAAGGCCAAACAGTGAGTCTAGTTTATCTGACCAGGCCAAACAGTGAGTCCAGTATAAAGTATGTCTGGGAACTGAGGGATTGCAGGAAGCCCACCCCATCCATACCATCTTCTCCTCAGAACTGGTACCACTTCTTGTCCTTGTATTTGTTCATGATGCTGTGTGCAGCAGAAGCAAACTGCTCTGCACTGTTCATCATCTGTGCCGACTTGTCTTCCAGCTCTCCCAACTTTTCTCCTCTCTCGGCTACCAGCTGTAGAAAAAAACAACTCCGTGTCAATTTCATGTATGCCACAAAAATTGCAACCAACATGATATACATATCAAAAGCATTGCAAAATCATTATGCACATTTATATTTATATACATATGTGTGTATGTGTGAGTGTGTGTGTAACAAACATTGCAACCAACATTATAATGGATCACAAACATCTAACAGAAACATTGCAACACAAATTTTATAATCACAATCATCAAATACACAATGCAACCAAAATGTGAATACCCCAAACACAACATGGCATAAGATCGTAGGTCCATACAGGTCACAGATTTGTAGAACAGTAGAAATTACAGATTTATTCATATCTCAGATCCGTAGAAGTAACAGATTTTTAGAAATCACAGATCTACAAAAGTCACAGATTTGTAGAGGTCAGAGATTTGTAGAATATGAATAGATAGAAATCAAAGATTTGTAATACGTGACAGGTAGCAGTCACAGATTTGTAGAAATCAAAAATTTAATTTGTAGACTGTAGAAATCACAGATTTGTCGAATAGCATAGGTAGCAGTCGCAGATTTGTAGAATAGCAAAGGTAGCAGTCATAGGTTTGTTGGACAGGATAGGTAGCAGTCATAGGTTTGTTGGTCAGGAAAGGTAGCAGTCATAGGTTTGCTGGACAGGACAGGTAGCAGTTAAAGGTTAGCTGGACAGGATAGGTAGCAGTGACGTTTTTTTTATAGGACAGGACAGGTAGCTGTGACATATTTACAGGACAGGGAGCAGTGACATATTTATAGGACAGGACAGGGAGCAGTGACATATTTATAGAACAGGACAGGTAGCAGTGACATATTTATAGGACAGGACAGGTAGCTGTGACAGATTTGTAGAAGGAAATGACAGGTAGCAGTAACAGATTTGCAGGAGGACAGGTAGCAGTCAGGGAGACATATTCAATCACTGGCCACAAAACAAAGATGATAGGCTAGACCTATATTTTCTAGACCAATCAGCACTGGCTGGGTGATGTGGTCAGCATCACAGCAGCCACTTTTATGCCAGGACTGTACTTGGTACCACTCAAGGCTGAGTTGACTTGAGAGCCCGAAAAAAACAAAAAACAAACAGTAATGGTTTCACCAGGATCCGAACCCAAAACCTTCCAATCCGCAGGTAAGCATCTAGCCGCTACACTACGATAGCCCTCTTATGAGTGAGACAGGGACAAGCAAAATAGTGCATGAGTGTGAGATAAGACAGAACACCAAGCACCTACCAGTCTGGTCCGACTGAACTCATTGGCTGACCCACTTGCTTGCTGCTGAAGGTGCTGGAGGTTGCCTGTGCCTGGAATGTGTTTGGCCAAACCTTTGGATGCCTTGCCGCTGGCTTCACCAACTGCACAAAGACAACAATAAACACAAACACATGTCTCTTATGACTATAGTGGTTCTTGCTGCTTATGGCCATACTATGTTTGTTTTAATCCATGTGTCCAACACTTTAGGTATTTAACACCCTAGGAATTTAACTCTCTAGGTGTCAAAACCTCTAGGTATCCAACCCTCTAGGTGTCAAAACCTCTAGGCGTCAAAGCCTTGAAGTATCCAACCCTCTAGGTGTCCAATCTTCTAGGTATCCAACCCTCTATGTATCCAGCACTCTATCCAACCCTCTAGGTGTCCAACACTCTAGGTGTCAAAACCTCTAGGTAACCAACCCTCCAGCTGTCCAAACCTCTATGTATCCAACCCTCTAGGTAACCAACCCTCTAGCTATCCAAACCTCTATGCATCCAACCCTCTAGGTAACCAACCCTCCAGCTGTCCAAACCTCTATGTATCCAACCCTCTATGTATCCAACCCTCTAGGTAACCAACCCTCTAGCTATCCAAACCCCTATGCATCCAACCCTCTAGGTAACCAACCCTCCAGCTGTCCAATCCTCTATGTATTCAACCCTCTAGGTAACCAACCCTCTAGCTGTCCAATCCTCTATGTAACCAACCCTCTAGGTCTCCAACACTCTAAATGTCCAATGCTCTAGATGTCCAAAAGTCTAGATGCCAATATCTCTAAGTCTCAAACACTCTGTCAGTAAATGATTTCAGCATCACTCTAGGTGTCTTGTCTATATTTGACATAAACAACACCCACTCCAGGTGTTCTATCGACATCTGACAGAATCACACAGTCTTAGTATCTAGTCTGTCTATGTTTGACACAGACTCACAGTCCCACTGGCCTGTCTATGTTTGACACAAACACACAGTAAGTACCAGTGTCTTGTCTATGTCTGACACAACCACACAGCACCAGTATGTTGTCTATGTTTGACACAACTGCACAGTCCCAGTGTCTTGTCTATTTGTCTATGTCTGATACAATCACACAGTCCCAATGTCTTGTCTATGTTTGACATAATTACATGGTCCCAGTATCTTTTCTATGTTTGATGCAATGACACAGTCCCAGTGTTTTGTCTATGTATGATACAATCACACAGTCCCAGTGTCTTGTCTAAGTTTGACACAACCACACAGTCCCAGTGTCTTGTCGATGTTTGACACAACTACAGTCCCAGTGTCTTGTCAATGTTTGGCACAACCACACAGATCTTGTATCTCATCCATGGCTGACAAAACCACACAGTCCCAGTGTCTTGTCTGTGTTTGACACAACCACACAGTCCCAGTGTCTTGTCTATGACACAATCACACAGTCCCAGTTTCTTGTCTATGTCTGATACAACCACACAGTCCCAGTCTCTTGTCTGTGTTTGACACAACCATCCAGTCAGAGTGTCTTGTCTATGTCTGATACAATCACACAGTCCCAATGTCTTGTCTATGTTTAACATAATTACATGGTCCCAGTATCTTTTCTATGTTTGATGCAATCACACAGTCCAAGTGTTTTGTCTATGTCACAATCACACAGTTCCAGTGTCTTGTCTATGTCTGATACAACCACACAGTCCCAGTGTCTTGTCTATGTCTGATACAATCACACAGTCCCAGTGTCTTGTCTATGTCGGATTCAACCACACAGTCCAAGTGTTTTGTCTATGTCACAACCACACAGTCCCAGTGTCTTGTCTATGTCTAATACAACCACACAGTCCCAGTGTCTTGTCTATGTCGGATACAACCACACAGTCCCAGTGTCTTGTCTATGTCTAATACAACCACACAGTCCCAGTGTCTTGTCTATGTCGGATACAACCACACAGTCCTAGTGTCTTGTCTATGTCTAATACAACCACACAGTCCCAGTGTCTTGTCTATGTCTGATACAACCACACAGTTCCAGTGTCTTGTCTTTGTCTGATACAACCACACAGTCCCAGTGTCTTGTCTATGTATGATACAACCACACAGTCCCAGTGTCTTGTCTATTTCTGACACAATGACAGTCCCAGTGTCTTGTCTGTGTTTGATACAACCACACGTCCCAGTGTCTTGTCTATGTCACAACCACACAGTACCAGTGTCTTGTCTATGTCTGATACAACCAAACAGTTCCAGTGTCTTGTCTATGTCGGATGCAACCACACAGTTCCAGTGTCTTGTCTATGTCTGATACAACCACACAGTCCCAGTGTCTTGTCTATGTCTGATACAACCACACAGTCCCAGTGTCTTGTCTATGTCTGATACAACCACACAGTCCCAGTGTCTTGTCTATGTCTGATACAACCACACAGTCCCAGTGTCTTGTCTATTTCTGACACAATGACAGTCCCAGTGTCTTGTCTGTGTTTGATACAACCACACGTCCCAGTGTCTTGTCTATGTCACAATCACACAGTTCCAGTGTCTTGTCCTTGTCTGATACAACCACAAAGTCCCAGTGTCTTGTCTATGTCTAATACAACCACACAGTTCCAGTGTCTTGTCTGTGTTTGACACAACAACACAGTCCCAGTGTCTTGTCTGTGTTTGACACAAGCACACAGTACCATTGTCTAAGTTATGTCTGATACAATCACAGTAGACATTTCCCAGCGTGGAGTCCCGTTAGCGCAGAGACTAGATGCTCAAATGCCAGCCTGAAAGTCTTGGGTTGGAATCTTTCTGAAAATGACCATGGTTCCCAGGTCAACCCAGCCTTAAATGGGTACCAGGTAATGTCCTGGGAAGTAAAGGCAGCCAGCTAGCATGATGACATCACCCAAAGACTGCTGACTGGTCTTTAAAAATATAAGAGTGTAGCATCATATGTCCAGTGTGTCAAGGGCATGAAAAAGATCCTTTATTTACAGTCCTGTTTCTGGACTTTTTCAATAAAACTGCCACTAGTGCCACCTGCCCTGACCATTTCTGTGGGGGAGGGGTCTTTGAGCCTGACTACTGCAATCGCCACAAACTGCGCAGGTAAGGATTTTATTTCTGGCCTGACCAAACATCATAACTTTACAGAGGATTCAAACAAGGGTCTCCCGCACGAGAGCTCCAAGTTCTTATCAATTCTGCCAGCCACTCCTCTTGCCTGTTCATGCAGGGGTCAAACGTACCACTGACTAGTCCGACTGTCCTACAAAGAATACCACACATGCCACTTACAGAGTTCCTCACGGTCAAGAGTAGCCATGCCTCCCCCAAAGAGAGTCTTGAGAAAGCCTTGCTTGGGGGCCTCAGGTGTGTCTTTTGGAAGAAATAGTTCTCCAAGCATTTCGTTCAAATTCTCACTGAAATGACAGAATGTGCTTGCTGAAAATATTGTTTAAGACACATAAAAAAACACTAAGCTACATAAGAAGGTGGCAATATATCAGGCACACAGCTGATAGAAATAATAAGTAACAGGGGGAATATACTATAACAGATTAGAGGGAGTGAATATGTTACTTGAGCACTGCAGAGACATTTCAGATGCTACCAGTGCAAATACAAAAGGGTTGAGATTCGACACTACAGCACTCAGGACACTCTCATAACAGCTCCATCCCCCATCTTCAGCAGCTAGAGAAGACTTCCAATTCTGATAATACCAGTAATAGTCTGACTGTATGTCTGTCAGGCCTTTCCTCTGAGCGTTGTCGACCAGACCCACTGGTCCCTTTCCACAGGCCCATTCTCTTCAAAGTACAATAGAAATCAAAGGGAAATCAAGATATGATTAAAAGAGGTAATACGATTTGAAAAAAGAACTTGTACGCAGAGAAACAAAACATAACAGAAGATACAACCACAGTGATACGTACGAGATTTCAGCAGAGTAGGTGATTTTCTGTATCTCCGTGGGGGAGCACAGGTACATGGCGTGGCCGTTGTTGCTGAAACAGAATGTCCTTGCCAGCCTAGGGAAAGGGAGACAATCAGAAGCTGAGCATCACCATCATTATTTAAGTATATCCAACTGAAAGCTTCTCATTGGCAATGTGAAACCAGTCACAAAAGTCATTAAAGAGCAACAGATGAAATTGGTTTGGCCATCTGACAAGAATGCCCTGGCACCAACTGCCACAGAAAAATGAGAATGTCCTGGTACCAACTGCCACAGAGAGCCAGGCTGAAGAAATATAATTAACACAGAGGAACAAGAAGACCACAAAAAACATGGAATGATAGCATCATGAACAGATTTAAAGAAATGAAGATGAACTTAAAATCACCCAGAAGATCCTTACCCCCCTCCCCTCCCCCTCAACGCTTGAATGAGGTCAGTGGAGGAGGAAAAGAAGAAAAGAAGACTAGCACAGGACTGCAGGCAGCTGATGTAGCCATTATGTCATGTGTGCCCTAATTGTAACTTCTTTATGTGTAGAACAAGGTATCTGTGTTTTGCCCTGTTGGTCTGTCATCCAGGATGAGAACTTTGAGATCTCAGCAGGTGGTTAAACCTATGCATTGTATAGGCTGATCTTGATTTCTTGAAGGCTGTTACTGATGTTGAGTCTTTTCCGGTCAAGACAGCAGAACCAACGTTGGTCATTAGGGATATTTGTTCAATTTTATGCAGATTATGTTAAAAATGTATTTCAAAAGTGTTTATATATATATATATATATATATATATATATATATATATATATATATATATATATATATATATATATATATATATATATATATATATATATATATATATATATAAAATCAGTGTGAGAAGTATGATGTTAAAGATGCATCTACGACAGATCTGGCAAAACAGTTAAAGAAATAAATGTGTCTACACAATGGTGCACAAGAAGAATTTAGATGTTCATCAAACAAGACCCGCACAGAATAGAAGCAATACTAATAACATAAAGAATAATATCAACACTTCTACAGGCAACAGTCTATATGTCATTACTTCATATTTTAATATGTCACATGTGTGCATTTGATATCTGCAATAACAGAATTAAATTAGTTCTAACTTTATATTTGTACTGACTTGAGGTCGCATGTTAATACTTTATAAGAGTACTATCAACAATGTAGTTTCCATCTTTGTGACTTCAATAGTGAAATTCATTTTGGACTTAATATCTGCTTTGTCAATAGCTGTCAAATTTATACTTGTACTAAAACAAAATTTGTGTGTAAACTATACCATGTTGTATGTGTGTGCCTTATACTGTACAAGTCAGACGCTGTGTGTGCTATAACTGGTACAATCAGATGTTGGGTACACTATACATCTGTACTAGTCATGAGTACACTATATACCTGTGCTAGTGAGATGTTGAGTGTGCTATATACAAACCAGCAATATGACATGAATGTGTGCTACATACATTTACTAGCAAGATGATCTCTGTGTGCTATATAGCAACACTTGAAAGATGTATGTGTATACACATGTGTGTGTGTGTGTACTACCCTGTTTCTCCAAAGATAAAACCACGTCTTATATTTTTTTGAGCTCTCTAAGAAGCCAAAGGGCTTTTTTCAGGGAGATTTCTTATTTGTGTGTGTGCACACTAACCAACATTTATTCAAGTAAACAAAAACATACATTTTATTCATGAGCACACATTGATCCTAAGGCCGCACAATAAAAGCAGTCTTCGTGTCATATGTGTGTGCATGCTATATACCAAGACCAGCAAGACATCATGTGTGTATGTGTGTGTGTGTTAAGTGCTATATCCCAACACTGGTAAGATGCAATGTGTGTTTTGTGCTATATATACCAACACTACCAAGAAGTCATATGTGTGTGTGTTTGCTACATACCAACACTAGAAAGATGTCAAGTGTGTGTGTGTTTGCTATATACCAACACTAGCAAGATGTCATGTGTGTTGGTGTTTGCTACATACCAACATTATCAAGATGTCAAGTGTGTGGGTGTGGGTGTGTGTGTGCGTTTGCTATATACCAATTCTAGCAAGATATCATGTGAGTATGCTGTATTCCAACAGTAGCAAGATCTCACGTATGTATGCCATATACCAACACTAAAAAGATATCATTTGTGTATGCCATTAACCACCACATAAGCAAGATGTCATGTTGTGTGTGTGTGTGTACGTGCATGCATGTGTGTGTGTGGGTGCACACTATATACCAACACTAGCAAGATGTCATTGAGTGTGTTTGTGCTTTACACCAACACCAGCAAGTTGCCATGTGTGTGTGCTATATACCAACAACAGTAAGACATTATTTGTGTATGCTATATATTAATAGCAAGATGTCATATGTGTGTGTGTGTGCTAAATACCAACATTAGCTAGATGTCATTTGTATATGCTATATACTAACACTAATAATAGGTTATGTGTGTGTATGCTATAGACCAACACTAGCAAGATCTCATGTGTGTATGCTATATACTAACACTAGCGAGACATCACATGTGTGTATGCTATATACCAACACTAACAAGTTCTCAGTACGATGTATAGCTGATGTGTAACAGAATCACCCACCTGTAGTCTGTCAAAGGTAAGAAATCTGCATCAAATAAAGGCTTCAAGCTGGGTAGACTGAAGGCCACAATATGGCCATTGGCAACATAACACATGAGGCAGACACTTTCTGTTAGATAAACCACATGTACATACAACATTTATCTTCTGTTAGATAAGCCATATGTACATACAACATTTACCTTCTGTTAGATAAGCCATATGTGCATACAGCACATACTTTCTGTTAGATAAACCATATGTACATAATACAAGTTACACTTCCTCAGATAAGCCCCATGTATTCACAACATACATCTTTTGTTAGATAAGCCACTTGCACATACAACATGCACTTTCTGTCCAACAGATAAAAACATAAGACATACACGTTCTGTTATGCAAACTGTAGCTGTCAAAATATTCTCATTACCAACAATTCTCATGTACAACCATTCTCACACAACCAGTGCCGACATATACTTGGATAAATAATCAGTAACACATGACTAAGCGCCAATATACACCGGTTTAAACAACCAATAGCACATGGCTCAGTGTTGATGTACACCTGTAGTATAAAAACCAATAACACATGACTCAGTGCCGATTGTACACCTGTAGTATAAAAACCAATAACACATGACTCAGTGCCGATGTACACCTGTAGTATAAAAACCAATAACACATGACTCAGTGCCGATGTACACCTGTAGTATAAAAACCAATAACACATGACTAAGTGCCGATGTACACCTGTAGTATAAAAACCAATAACACATGACTCAGTGCCGATGTACACCTGTAGTATAAACAACCAATAACACATGACTAAGTGCCAATATACACCTGTATAAACAACCAATGACACATAACTCAGTGTACACCTGTAGTATAAAAACGACATACATCTGTATGTAGTAAAAACCAATGACGCATGAAGTGCCAAGTGACAATGTACAACCTGACACATACTCAAAAACATCCAATAACCAATGACGCATGAATCAGTGACAATGTACACCTGTATAAAAACCAATAACACATGAATCAGTGCCAATGTAAAACCTGCTTAAACAATGAGTGACACATGACTGGGCTGGCGTACAACTGTATAAACAACCAACACATGAATCAGCGCCAAAAGATCATCATCAGTTCTTGTTACGCCTAGTGGCACATGAGGCTTCAGAGAGGACTTTCCATGCTTTCCTGTCCTGTGCAATCTTCAGTGCAGTTTTCCATGTCAAAGATGCCGCACTCAGGTCACTTTCCATAGTTCGTCTCCATGTTGTTTTTGGGCGCCCGTTTTATCTTTCCTTCTGGTGTACATGTGAGAGCTGTTTTGGCAGGTATATCAGGATTCATTCTCATAACGTGGCCAAGCCATTTCCATCTTCTCTTGGTTATCATACTGTCTAAAGTTTATTTGTTTGTGACTTGAAGTAGTTTAGTGTTTGAGATTGTACCTGGCCAGAAAATTTTGATAATTCTACATAGACATGTGTGGTGGAAGGTGGACAGCTTGTGTGCATCCTTTTTGGTCATTCTCCAGCATTCCGATTCATAAAGAAGAACTGGCAAAATGATGCTCTTGTAGAGTCGGAGTTTTGTTCCTCTGCAGTAATTGTTGGATTTCCAGATTTGCCTCATCCTTCCAAAAGCAGCTCTAGCTTTGTTAAGACAAGACTTTATGTCCTCGTCGGTCCCTCCCAGTAGGGACACCACACTGCCAAGATATGTGAAATGTTTTACATTTTCAAGAGTTTGGTTATTTATGGTCACTGGTTGTTGGTTTGGACTGCTTGTCATGATCTTAGTTTTCTTTGTATTTATTCTCAGTCCGACCATTTCTGCTGTGCTGTGTAGTCTGTTACTTTTTTCTTGTATATGTTCATGTTTGTGTGATAGGAGTGCTATATCATCTGCAAAATCAAGGTCCTCAAGCATGGCAGATGGAGTCCATCGTATGCCTCTCTGTGTTCTTTAGTATCCAATCAATCACAAGGTTGAAGAGGAGAGATGACATAACTCATCCCTGTCTTACACCTGTCTTTACTGGGAAAGATGTAATTTTTTATACTGCAGAAAAAAGTCTTTATAGAAGAGAGCAATTATGTTGACTATTTTTTCTGGAATTCCATAATGTCGTAACATTTTCCAAAGACCATCTCTATGGACGCTTTCAAAAGCTTTCTTAAAGTCCACAAAAATCATATATATACTTCTCTGCCATTTGTTGCATTGTTCTAAAATGTAACGTATGGCAAAGATGTGCTCAGTGCCAAAGGATCGTGTAAAAAAAAAACCAAGGACATATGATCAGAGCCAAGGTACACCTGTATAAACAACCAATGACACATGATTCAGTGCTAAAGAACACCTGTATAAACAACTAATGACACATGATTTAGTGCCGATGTATGCCTATATAAACAACCAATAACAAATGACTCAGTGCTGAGTACACTTGTATAAACAACCAACAGATGAATCAGTGAAACTGAACTGACCTCTCATAGCCACAATGTCTGCCTTGACAACAAAGGAAGTTTCCGTGACCTTCACCTTGAAAGCACAGGTCTGTGATGGTAGCGAGATGGCCTGAAATAACAGGACTATGTCAGACTTCTGTCAGCAATGGCTATTTCCTGATGTTTTTATTATAGGATGTAGACAGAGGTGAGGGCCTGAAGACAACTTGACACAAACATCAGAAGGAGGTAGTCATCATTTGGGGGAGGGATGTTTTGAGAAGATGGTGACTGGAACACATTATTACCACTGGAAATATATGTGGAAATAAAGATAGAGAACAAGGAGAGAAAATTCTTCATAGCCTTTGGTTATTGCACAGAGCAGGTCAGTACATGAGCTGAGGAAAACTGACTGTTGGAGACCCAGGTTGCGAAGACGCATGATCGCCCATGCCAGTCAGCAAGGGACTTGATGATTATATAGTTAATTACTTGCATATCATTTACCAGACATCTTAAACTAACTGCAGAGATTGTTGACTGTTTGTGGTTTTACTAGACAATTTTATGTTTCAGCAGTTTGTCATTTCTTTCTGAATGATTTGATGCTGCTTCTGTTGAAATCAACATAAAGAGGACTGCTAAAATGGCTGCAACTGAATCAAATCTGGGATGTTTATAACCACTATGTAACTGATGTTGGTTGCGTATTCTTTACTGGACATTGCACAATCAACCCCCATCAATTTTTAACTGTTGTGGTTTTTCTAGGCAAATTTATGTTCAGTAGTTTGCTAGTGGTTTTTGAACAGTCGGTTCTTGATACTGCTGTCCAAGTCAACGCAAGACGGTCTGCTGCCAAATTGTCTGCAGCTGGGATCAAAGCTGGCACATTCACAAGGCCTAAGACACAGATGCTGACAAGTAATACAAATAAGTAAAATAAAACAAAGGACTTTGTTTTTGTTTTGTTTTGGGTATTGGGCATTTAATGCTTCGCTTATATTTTTTTACAGATAGCTCTGAGTCACTGATATAGTATGTGATGTGGCAATGTTTAAACTCCTTTCTGATCATGCAATGTTCTTCATCTAGTCCATGCTGTGTGACACTGGTGGTCATCATATCCATCCACAGCTTTCTATATCTTCTTCTTAGCATTTTACCGATTGTAAACTCCAGCAGAAAGTCTAGTTGTTTGTCCACTTCTGAAGGTTTTGTTCCACAGTTTTGTATACTCATCTGTTACACAGAGTGGGAACAGATTGCTAATTGCTTTAGGGACAGTGTGCAATCTGATGGAGTGGGGATAAGTATCATGTTGTTTTAGGGCCAGCATTTAGAGAATCTGACAGAGTGGGGACAAGTAGCCCATTGTCTTAGGAACAGTGTTTAGGTGATATGAAAAAGACAGGCAGTACTTTTAAGGACAATGTGAGACATACAAACGGTAGTTTTAGGGACAATGTGAGGTAGAAAGGCAGTAGTTTTAGGGACAATGTGAGGTAGAAAGGCAGTAGTTTTATGGACAATGTGAGATAGGCGAGCAGTAGTTTTAAGGACAATGTGAGATAGGCAGGCAGTAGTTTTAGGAACAATGTGAGATAGGCGAGCAGTAGTTTTAAGGACAATGTGAGATAGGCAGGCAGTAGTTTTAGGGACAATGTGAGATAGGCAGGCAATAGTTTTAGGGACAATGTGAGATAGGCGAGCAGTAGTTTTAGGGACAATGTGAGATAGGCGAGCAGTAGTTTTAAGGACAATGTGAGATAGGCAGGCAGTAGTTTTAGGGACAATGTGAGTTAGGCAGGCAGTAGTTTTAAGGACAATGTGAGATAGGCAGGCAGTAGTTTTAGGGACAATGTGAGATAGGCGAGCAGTAGTTTTAGGAACAATGTGAGATAGGCAGGCAGTAGTTTTAAGGACAATGTGAGATAGACAGGCAGTAGTTTTAGGGACAATGTGAGATAGGCAGGCAGTAGTTTTAAGAACAATGTGAGATAGGCAGGCAGTAGTTTTAGGAACAATGTGAGATAGACGGGCAGTAGTTTTAGAAACAATGTGAGATAGGCAGGCAGTAGTTTTAGGAACAATGTGAGATAGGCAGGCAGTAGTTTTAGGAACAATGTGAGATAGGCAGGCAGTAGTTTTAAGGACAATGTGAGATAGGCGAGCAGTAGTTTTAGGAACAATGTGAGATAGACGGGCAGTAGTTTTAGGGACAATGTGAGATAGGCGAGCAGTAGTTTCAGGGACAATGTGAGATAGGCAGGCAGTAGTTTTAAGGACAATGTGAGATAGGCAGACAGTAGGGACAATGTAGATAGGCAGGCAGTAGGACAATGTGAGATAGGCAGACAGTAGTTTTAAGGACAATGTGAGATAGGCAGGCAGTAGTTTTAAGGACAATGTGAGATAGGCGAGCAGTAGTTTTAGGGACAATGTGAGATAGGCAGGCAGTAGTTTTAAGGACAATGTGAGATAGACGGGCAGTAGTTTTAGGGACAATGTGAGATAGGCGAGCAGTTGTTTTAAGGACAATGTGAGATAGGCGTTTTAGAGCAGTAGTTTCAGGGACAATGTGAGATAGGCAGGCAGTAGTTTTAAGGACAATGTGAGATGAGATAGGCGAGCAGTAATGTTTTTAAGGGACAATGTTGAGACAAGACGGGAGATAGACGGGCAGTAGTTTTAGGGACAATGTGAGAGCAGTTTTAAGGACGAGGCAGTAGTTTTTCAGGACAATGTGAGATAGGCGAGCAGTAGTTTTAGGGACAATGTGAGACAGACGGGCAGTAGTTTTAGGGACAATGTGAAATAGACAGGCAGTAGTTTTAGGGACAATGTGAGATAGGCGAGCAGTAGTTTTAAGGACAATGTGAGATAGGCAGGCAGTAGTTTTAAGGACAATGTGAGATAGGCAGGCAGTAGTTTTAAGGACAATGTGAGACAGACAGCAGGTACCAGTTTTAGAGACAATTTGAGACGAGCAGGCAGTGGTTTGAAGAAAATATGAAAAAGACAGGCAGCAATTTTAGGGACAATGTGAGTTAGGCAGTTGCTTTAGTGAAACAAAAAAAAGATAAGCAGTAGTTTTACGGACAGGTACCAGTTTTATGGAAAATATGAAGAAGACAGGCAGTAGTTTAAGTATAATGGGTAAGCCAGTGTGACCGAGTGAGAGGAGAAGGTGAGGAGACCAGAACTGACCCTTGCTTGCTTCTCTGAACACAGGATGGCAAACTGCCGGTCACTGCTGATCTCGGCAGACAATGTTGGGGAGATCCTGGGCTTGGAGTTACACACAGACATCTGTCCTACAAGTCAAGGCATAAGATACAAATATAAACACTAGTTAATTTCATCAGTCTGATACTGCCTACAGCTTCACATGTTCAACACTGTACACTCAAAAAATTGTATAGGATCAGCTGTCAGAGGGAGATATTGATAGAGAGAGGCACTAGTGCCGAGAGAGAGAGAGAGAGAGTCAGGGAGAGAGTCAGGGAGAGGGAGAGAGATGCTGAAAGAGAAAGCTGATAGAGAGAGACTGACAGAGAGAGCGAGTGGCAGAGATACACCCTAAAGAAAGAGACACTAACAGAGAAAGACACTGGCAGGATATACACTGACAAAGTGACAGGGACAGACACTGACAATACAGAGACACTAACAGAGAAACACGCTTGCAGAGAATACTGGCAGAGATTCACTGACAGAGAGAGAGAGAGAGAGAGAGAGAGAGAGAGAGAGAGAGAGAGAGAGAGAGAGAGAGAGAGAGAGAGAGAGAGAGAGAGAGAGAGAGAGAGAGAGAGAGAGAGAGAGACTGACAGAGAGACATTGACAGAGAAATACACAGTGACACACACACACATACACAGAGAGAGAGATCAAGAGAGAGACTGACAGAGAGACACTGACAGAGAAATACACAGTGACACAGAGAGAGAGAGAGAGAGAGAGAGAGAGAGAGAGAGAGAGAGAGAGAGAGAGAGAGAGAGAGAGAGAGAGAGAGAGAGAAACTGACAGAGAAATACAGTCAGAGAGTGCCAAACATAGAAGAAAAAGAAATTACCGTGCTGACAGTGAATGAGCTGGGAAATCAAAATACATCACATATTAAAAGATGAGAGTGTCATGTGTCCCCTCAGGCTTAAGTCTTTAAACACACGTTTCTTTCTCCTTTCACTCTAAATTATGTTATTTCTCTAACAGATCAAATGGTTCGGACATGTCTTGAAACTACTTCAAGACAGCACACCAAAGATAACCCTGCCCTTAGACACAATGGAAGCAGAGCTAGAGATCACCCACGCAATCAATGGATAAATGGAAGATTCTAGGCCATTAACAGTAGCATCTAGGTAGCATATACCAAGGCTCGTACCAGATGCTACCTCAAAACCTGATGCTGAAGGGCAAAATAGGGGCTAGAGAAAAGAAGAAGATCAGACACACAAGCACTTACTGGAAGCGGCAACCTTGCTGCTCCAATCCCGGTTGTCCCTGTTGTCCCTCCACTGTTCACTCACAGCCGGTATCAGGACACCTTTGAAGTCCAGGAAGGACATACAAACAATAGCACCTTTCATTCTGTACAGTGACCCTGGCAAATATTGCAGTGACAATCATTAATGCAGCAGCAAATGTACAGACGGTTTCAGCGGAGAAAACAGACACAATGGTAACATAGAACCAATTGACGGAGAAGCAACACCAACACAGAAACAATCACAAGACTGGAACAATCACAACACAGGGAGAATGATAATGGGAAACAATCAAAACACAGGAATAATCACAAAATAGAAACCATCACAATACAGGAAGAGGGATAATGAAAAAAAAAAATGGCAATATAGGTACAATTACAATATTAAGCTTATCACTGGGATATGAACCTAATCATTGGGTGATGTGAGCCTAATCACTGGGTGATGTGAACCTAATTACAGGGTGATGTGAACCTAATTACAGGGTGATGTGAACCTAATCACTGGGTGATGTAAATCTAATCACTGGGTGATGTTTACCTAATCACTGGGTGATGTGAACCTAATCACCGGGTGATGTGAACCTAATCACTGGGTGAGGTGAACCTAATCATGGGGTGATGTGAACCTAATCACTGGGTGATGTGAATCTAATAACAGAGTGATGTGAACCTAATTACAGGGTGATGTGAACCTAATCACAGGGTGATGTGAACCTAATCACTGGGTGATGTGAACCTAATTACTGGGTGATGCGAACCTAATTACTGGGTGATGTGAACCTAATCACTGGGTGATGTGAAACTAATCACTGGGTGATGTGAAACTAATCACTGGGTGATGTAAACCTAATCACTTGGTGATGTGAACAAACACAATCAGCCGGTGATGAGAACAAACACAATTAGTGGGTGATGTGAACAAACACAATCAGAGGGTGATGAGAACAAACACAATCAGTGGGTGATGAGAACAAACACAATCAGTGGGTGATGAGAACAAACACAATCAGCAGGTGATGTGAACAAACACAATCAGCCGGTGATGTGAACAAACACAATCAGCGGGTGATGTGAACAAACACAATCAGCCGGTGATATGAACAAACACAATCAGTGGATGATATGAACAAACACAATCAGTGGGTGATGAGAACAAACACAATCAGTGGGTGATGAGGACAAACACAATCAGTGGGTGATGTGAACAGACCCAGTTACTGGGTGATGTGAACAAACTCAATTATTGGGTGATGTGAACAAACCTAATCACTGGATGATATAAACAAACCTAATCAATATGTAATGTGAACAAACCCCATCACTAGGTAATATAAACACACCCAGTGATAATAAACACAAGACAATCAATTAAAATGAAACCGTGCTGGTTCCAGACCTACCGCTGGGAGAAACAATGACCGGTTGAGATAACCGCTGTTCCGGCTGTATCACCAAGACTATAACAATCACAGAACCCAGGCTGGTGCCGACCCACAGACATGGGGACGTCTCATTATCTGAAACAGGTAAAGGCAAATAGAGGCTGACGTGAACATGTTAACATTTTTAAATAACTAAGTATATTTAAAAAAAAAGGGGGGGGGGGGGAGGGGTGAAGGACCCATTTCATGTCAGTAGCTTCAAGGGCATATAATGCTGGACTCCTATTTTTTTGTTTAGACCAGCTGGCACACAACAGGTAATGCAGTCAAATTCACACCAGCCACCTTTACTTCCCAGGACTTTACTTGGTACCCACTTTAAATCTAGGCTGAGTGGTCCTGGGAGCCAAAGTCAAGTTGAAAAAAAAAAAAAAACATTCAGCTCTGATGCAAATTGCAACTAAAGGTTCTCTGAGCTGGATGGTGAGGATACCACCGCAGCTCCCAGAAGTAACTAAACACAAAATAATATATGACCGGAAAGATCCCTGGAAGAAAAGGACAAGGCATGTACAAACACAAACAAACATTTTTAGCAGTTTTTATCAATAAAACAATAGATTATTCAGCAATTAACAAGGTCAACATGCAACTGGAGAAAAAGAAAAAGCAGAAAATATGGACAGGAAGGTGATTACAAAATGAAACATTCTTTAGAGAGGAAGAAAGAGAAAGGAAGAGAAACAGAGAAAGAGAAGAAAAAGAGAGAGAAAATGTAAAAAACTAAACTGTGTAGCTGCATGCAACTCACATTTGTGTATGTGAGATAGAGAAAAAGAAAGATAGATAGATAAAGGCAGATATAGAGAGAAAAAGATTCAGAGAAAGAAGAGATTATAAAGAAAAAGAGAGAAAGAAAGAGAGAAGAGATTCTGAAAACAAGAGTCACATCTATGTTGTAGAGCAGTCTCACCTTGCTTGCGGGTATACGAGTCGGTGAACACCAGACACTGGATTGCCTCTTTGGTAACATTTTCCAGACTAGACATGCTAGAACTGCGGGAACGAGAAAACGACGAACTATCTCCCTTTTCTGTTGAAACAGTTTTGGAGAAAGGAACAGCAGTTAGTTTTTAGGCACACACTTGACTGAAGCTACATTTCTCTAGTACAACTAAATTATTTTAGAATATATACCATTTCCCCTCATTATAGATGTGACACTTTACTAAAACTATAGACCATTTCCCCTCATCATAGATGTGTCACTTTACTAAAGCAAAAGACCATTTCCCCTCATTATAGATGTGTCACTTTACTAAAACTATAGACCATTTCCCCTCATTATAGATGTGTCACTTTACTGAAGCAATAGACCATTTCCGCTCATTATAGATGTGTCACTTTACTAAAACTATAGACCATTTCCCCTCATTATAGATGTGTCACTTTACTAAAACTATAGACCATTTCCCCTCATTATAGATGTGTCACTTTACTAAAACTATAGACCATTTCTCCTTATTATAGATGTGTTATTTTACTAAAGCTACAGACCATTACCCCTTATTACAGCTGTGTCATTTTACAAGAGCCAGAGACCCATATGTTCCCTTCTCACATGCCGTGTCACATCACAAAGCTGTCGTTTCACTGTAGCTGTTCTACCACTCAAGGCATGGCATCTGCCTCAAGTGCTGGAGGTCCCGAGTTCAGGCCCCGGTGAGGGTAGTCCTGGGAAGTAAGGGTGACCAGTGTGATGCTGACTACATCACCCACCAAGTGCTGGGTGGAGGGTTGTGTGGTCTCGAGGCATGGCGTCCGCCTTGAGGGCTGGAGGTCCTGGGTTCAAGCCCCGGTGAAGGCTGGGATTTTTTGACGTGGACTTCTAGTAATTTTCCCTGGTCTCTGGGTAGTAAGATCGAACACCCGTGTGTATTTTTGCGCGTGCACGCACACACACACAATCCCATGGCAGATGGCATTTGAAAAGAGTAGCCTGACAGGGCTGCCTGGGCAAAATTTTGAGTTAAAAATTTACCCAAAGTATTTCAGGATCCTTGCCCTTTATTCCCCAATGGAGCATAGGCCCTCAACTTATGTTTTGCAGCTCACCCCATTATTTCAACTTCATTCTCTAGTTCCCTTTTCCTTGTGTAATTTTTGGGGGGAAGGGGTGGGGAAACCCTTGATTTATTCCTTCTACTCTGTGGGCTCCATATGGCAGACTGTCATTCAGTGGCAATAAACCACCAGCAATATTATGAAAATTTAGTTCACAACACAGACAAAAAAAGCATTCTACATGAAATCCACAGCTTGCAGTGTCATATAAAACACTCAACTCAGTAACCGGGTGACAGAACCATGTAGTACAAATGTAAAAATTAGGAAAACCATGGCCAGAAGCAAACAACACATCAAGGGTTTGAGAGACCACTAGTCTCTCTGCCATACTCGACCAAAAGTATTTTAGTGTTACCTATCAATCAACAGGAGCTGCAGTGGTGTAACGGCCAGGTGCTCATCTTCTGAAGGTTAAAGGTTCGAATCTGCATAAGGCTGATTTTGTTCTTCTTCTAAATGACCTGGGTTTCCAGGCTGACCCAGCCTAAAATGGGTACCAGGTTTAGCCCTGGGAAGTAAAGGCAGTTGGTTTGATGTTGAATACATTGCCCACTGAGTGCCCATTGGTTTATACAAAATCTAAGTCTAGCATCATATGCCTGTTGCACCACAGGCGTCAAAATGATCCTTCACCGACTGACTTTACTTATCAATCAACAGGGTGACCCAGTCTTAGAGATGGTAGTCGACAATGTAAGGAGACTGTGCTTTGTGCGACACTCTTGACAGGTGTGACAAGCCGTTCTGTGGACAGAGACAGAGCCATATGGGATAAAAACGGGCACACTGCTTTTGACTTGATACCAATAGTATATCCAAGTGTTAGGCCTTTAGCTTTGTCTGGTCTAGGTGGGAGGGTCTGACACGTGGACAAAGCACTGCTCTTCTGACTGGCAACTTCTGCTTTTTCTCCATATGTACTGGTGTTACCTTTCCTTTGGAGTAAACAAAGCTGACCGAGGGAGGGATTATGCTGCATGGGCAACAGATGGTCTCTACAATACTGGCCAGGTTTTGTACTACAGAACTGAAGAATGTCATCCCTAACTTTAATTAGTTTCACAATGGACTGTGATTACCATGCCTTCCTATAGCACAATGGAACACTATCTTTTGAAAAACAGAGAGGTGCAAACAAAAATAAAAGTGTTTTAAATATATCAGTCTAGCATTATATATATCAGTCAATAGTTTACTCTAGGGTTAGATGTTCATCTTTAAGAATAGACTATTACAGAAAATATAACAACAATTTGGCAAGAGTATATCTTGAACAACAACCAAGAGATTGAGCATGCAGGTATACATAAACTGTGTAAGGGGGAAAGGGGGGGGGGTGGTAAGACATATATATCATGCTAAATCACATGCATCATAAAAAACACTGACTTATCTTATCATGTAATCACATACAAATAGGGTAGAAAACAATATCATGCAAACAAAACTACACAATGAAATAGCTGCATGCACATCAGTTTAGCAGCATCTGTAGACACAAGATAAGGCAAACACACTGTTTCTTCTGTTTTCAACTTCTGGGACTGCAATCTGAAGGACTGACATCCAGTAACTTAACTCTTTCTATCCAAAACTCAGGGTATTAATCACATGTACCAGTCAACATACTGTGTATGTTTTTACATCTTATGTTTAGCGAGCAGCTCTGAAAACATATTGTTTCCTGCAAGTAGTACGAGTATTAGGAAAAATAAAGTATAGCCCACTGCACCCTACTAAGCATGTCAAAACAGGTGACTCTGCCTGTGGGTATTGGGGACTCACTTTGAGGTAGGGGGAGGACCCACTGCTTAATAACTAGCATAGCATAAAGGCTGCCTAATTAAGAATTTGCTGAGATCAGATGTGTGGGGATGACAGGCACTGAACACAACACGCCAACCACTCTTTTTAGAAGAAACATAAAAAATGTTTTAAAAAAAGAAGACACAGGTGGCGTAGGATAGGGCAGGGCTTGCCTGCCTAATTTAATTAAACACCACAGTCACAAAACCATCCAACTTTGAGACAGAACGACTTGGCAAGAATTTGTTGTGGGCCTATGCTACCCCAAGGGATGCCGGTGTTCAGGACACCAAGTTGATTGTGAGAGATTACTTGCTGATTATTGAAGAATGATCACCAACAGACATCACACACTACGTCATTGAACATCAGTGTTAATTTGTTCCAGCGATTCACAGAAGGGATATAGGGCATAAAGAAAGAAAACTGCTGCTTCAGTAAATTTTAAAGGTTACTTTCTGTTTATAAGGTGAGTTCAAATGGCAACTCACACAGTCCAAATGACAAGATTAAAGAACAGATATTCATGTACAGATATATTAATACATACAGCAAAACAACTGTTGTTAATCAGTGTCTTATATGGAAGAGCTTCGCAATTAATGACAATGAATGCCACACATATAAATCATACAAAAAGTTCACGATGACAGACACTTATAAATAAACCAAACAGAAAAACACTGACAAGAAAAGATTCAGCACACACATATGATATTCACAGAAAAAAAGGTGGCCACTGCCGCAGTAATAAAACAAAACTGAATAAATAAATATTAAGGGAAAAGAGAATACAAGAAAAAAAATTAGTCAAAGCTGTGCTTAAAACGAGTGGGTGTGATTAAATTTCAAAACTGCAAATCAAAAGATGGGAAAATCCAGTGGCAGCTCGTGGCTAAAGTATCGAGTGACAATAGGGTGTGCTGCATTTTGCCATTGCCTATCCACGAGCTGCCACTGGGGAAATCATAGAAAGACCTGAAGAACACAACTGGATAAAGAGGCAGATGATGAGAGAAAGCACCTCCAGCGATGTATAACTCATCAATGGATGCCACACTGTGCACTCGCTGCAGCCTGCGACCACCTGGCAGCTTGGGACGACGGGTCTCAGCTGACAGCTGTTTCCTGGTGGTTTTCACACCTGAACTTGTCGGACTCGGGCAATCCACATCTACCTACACCCAGGGCAACAATAAGAGGTCAAGCTTGGGCAGGCAACAAAGTACGTGAGGTTTAAAAGATCAAACACAAGGCATGTTGGAGTCATATAACTTTCTGGAGACCTAGAGACCAACAGCTAGTTTATCACATAAGTTCTATCTGGTCCTCCTGTATAAAAAAATATTTAACCCTTTCACTTGGAAACCCTAGGAGTGAAAAGACATGATCCCAAACACTTCAACCCCCCCCCCTCTAACTGAGTTTTTTTTAAACACAGGCCACTAATAAATAAATATAAAATGTATTTATATACACACTGCAATTTTAAAGAAATTTGTGAAAGGAGTTTTAATAACATGAAAGGAGCAAAGAATTAAAATGGAATACATTTCCTTAGAAAACTTTATTTGGTTACTCAAACCATGACTGTTGTTATGTGTTAGCCAAAAGTGAGCTAGGATGTAATTATGACATCATATGTCATATAAGCATATTTCCCCAACAATAGTAAATATGACCATACTCCCTCCTCCTAAACACTGTGCAAGTGCAAACAGAACCAATGCAGCAGTACTGGTTTAAGGACTTTGCAGGGATTTGGAAAAGGTTTTGTTGAATGAGCTGTGTCTCGGGGTGAAAGGGTTAAATAAATAAAAGCAAACATAAAGTCCACCTGAGGGAAAGAAACCCAATGGCAAATTAGTACAACAGAAAACTTGATATCTATGAATCATAAATTATTACACTGGTACAATGCTAACAAAATACAATTTGTATCTACAAACTCAAGAGTGTGTGAGCTAAGGTAGAAATAATACCATGTTGAGATAAGTCACAAGACTTCACATTTCAGATAGACAAGACACCAACTTAGACACATACGATAATGTCTGAGAGACAGTACAACATACAAAACATATGACCGAGGCCGAAATATGCCACAAAGTCAATGTTTGCAACATAAATGTCACCAAAGACAATGTCTGATAATTCTTC